GACTCACTTTTTGCTCCTCTTGTCCAAGATATAATGAAAGAGAAACCAGGGATGGAAGAGACTGTTCTGTGCAATGCAGCAAAATGCTACAGAAAGGATGCAATAATATTCCAGCTCCTCGCAAGGTACTATTACATCAAAAAACAAGACTTTACTATGGCCATGGACTGGGCAAAGAAAGCCAAAGACCTTTCAAGGGAGAACTCCTATATATGCGATACAGTATCACAGGTACTTGTGCGTGAGCTCAAGCATGCTTTTCGTGAAGACAAAGATGATCCCATTCAGCCTGTCAGTCTTGAAAAATATCTTACATTGGCTGAGTCTGCAGTAGAAGCTTGCAAAGAAACTCAACAAACTGCAAACAAAGAGGCCATGACTCGATTGCAAAGACCAAATGATTATAGTATCTACAACACTGCTGGCCATCTCGGTGAACTTCAAATTGCAGCTACAGTCATAGAAATACTGCAGAAGACACCACCGTATAAATCACAATCGGAGCTGGAGGGACCTGACACCAGAAAATTATCAGGGCCAGGAGAGGAGCCTGGGAATGAATCATATTTTCATGTAATGGAGAAGCATGTAAACTTTCTAAATCAACTTAAAAAAACAATGAAGCAACATTTTGTTTTTCTTGACAACTTTTTTGTCAACTTAGTACCACTTTTTGCTGGGAAAGACAAACAAAAAGAATCAATAAAGCATAAGGTTTTCAAGTATTTTCAACAGTATACTGACCTCTTTTGTAAAACAAATTGGAGTGAGCTATGCAACAAAGAGTCCATGCACCCCACAGCAAAAAACTTGCAGACACGTGAATGTCTGGAGAAGAACAAGGGTGATTCCTATACAGGCCTTCTGGAATATTTATATGAGGAAGACTCTGCATCAACTCTTGAAGAGATCATCCAGCAGTATGATTTCATTCTGAATTCCACAGAAGAGGACGGAGGATTGATGGACATTATTAACTTTATCTATGCCAATGTAATTCTGGCCAACATCAAACCTGAATCTCAGTACATCATGCCCTACCAAGACCTTTGTAAATTACTCCTTAATATAATCGACCGCCCCAGATCATTCAGTGAGATTCTGCCACTGTACTACATAACAGTTTTGTTATTATGGCAAGAGGCAAACCGTGAATTACCAACTTTTGTTTCACAAATGAAGACGTTATATTTAAATGAGCTGAAACCTTTGTATAATGGAAAGAGAGCAGCTGTCCATTTTTACCTAGGCAGAGAAAAAGGTTATGGTGGCCTGATTTCCCATAGGGATATTAACAGCTGTTTAGGATCAGGGCAGGACATTTCAATTCAGTGGGATGATGAAAAAATATGGAAGCAAGTGAGAGACAGTAGGAAGCTTTGCAGAGTTTCTGGCGAAATTCGCAACAATTTGATCTGGGTTGCAGATGTGAAGTTTATGGTTGATCCAATGTTCAGAAGCCAGTTACGTAAAGAATCTGGCACAACAGTGACATTTTTTATCGGATTCTCGATGAATGGACCAGTTGCACTTGACATACTTTGAGTCAATGGATGAATCTGACTGATGACCAGAGAAACATTTCATCTAGGAAGACAACATTTTCGAGATTTCCAGTTTAAAACATCAAGACAGTCAAGTCAAAGTAACTCATGGACCAAAACCCTTTATTAGTTATTAGACATTATTTTAGTTTGCCTGATTATCATATATTACACACCTCAATATAAATCAGTCTTTTACTCAATTATGTTGCATGTTTTTGGACTTTGTTTTAGCAGAAATGCCCAATTGTGTTTAATGTGAATTTCGTAAAAGCAATGGTGTTTTTTGTTATGTGAGAGGTGACTGCGAGTCATGACAGTAATCTATTAATTTCCAGAGAGCACACATGCACCTGTGTTGTACTTTAACCATACTATATTTTAGTTTTTTTATATACATTTAACATACATCTTACTGCATTTTACTCATACATTTATATATTAATTTGCTCATTTATTCTTTAAATTTGACTTTTATTTTACTTTAATTTACACTCTAAGAAAAGTCTGTAAGAATAGGGCCCATTGTACTATGTTAATATGAAGAAATTTTTCACAGGTGTTTTACATGTATTTTGGATTATGCTTTGCATTGTGTTGTGCATTAGGGTTGAAAGAAATGTTTGTAAACTTAACAGAAGAGGTACTGGTAATTTTCTGCCAGGATCTTTTTTTTCTACTGATTTTTTTCTTATGTACATTTGTTTTTTGATAAGTACTACTATTGCTGCGTATACAATATGTTGTATAAGGAATCATTTTCAAGCTTCATTCTGTCTCTGTTCAAGGCAGCACACATTTTTCTTTAACTGTAATTAATTGTCTGCATTCAAGGTCTTCAAGGTCACAAGTCACTGTTAAGAAGCAGTACATTTCCATTCCCTTTGCTTGTGATCATAACACTTGTTTAAGTTGAGTCAAAGGTTATCCAATAAACGTATTTCTTATCACTTCCTTTCCCGACTCCTGCACTCCTCCTGCATCTAATCTTGTCAAGTCTAGATATGTGTATATTGCTTTTCAGAATTATTTCAAAGGAACTTTACAGACAATCGTGCCTTACAACCATGTGTTAAGTAAAAAAGTAATCCACTATAAATCTACTACAAATTCTAGGTAAAACTCTTCAAAATGGTCCAGTTTTGTGTTTCCTCATCTATTGTCACACAAAAGTCATGTTTATATTACTATACTATTTATTAAAACTAAGATATCGTCACGTGTACGTACGTTTCTGTCTAGTTCCTGTTTGCCCCTATTTGGTTAATTTCCTGCTCATTTAGTTCATCTTCTTTCATTAGTTCCCACCTGTGTTGTATTAATTATCTCGTTTGATCCTTAGTTGCCTGCCCTTTATAAGCCCTCAGTTTCTGTCATTCCTTTGTCCTGGATTAATGTTATTTTCAACGGTTATAGTGTGTTGATGCTTATTAAAAGCTCATTTTCTTCTACTCCTTTGTCGTGCGCAATTATTACAACCACAACCCATGACAGAATCCAGGACCCGTCACTGACAACGACGACATAAATGGAGGAATGAGCGAGGTTAATCACTGTGGCACAGAACGTGCCGCTCGCCCTCGCCAGTTCCCTCGAGGGGGAAACCCTCGTGACGCTGTTCCGGATCGGGATTACTTACCATCGCCCCAGCTCCCAGACACCACCAACCTCGACTGGAAGAAGGCAGCCATCCGGTGTCTGGAGAGCCTCCGATCCCAATCTGGGACTCCTCCGCCGGCCATTCCTCAGTCAAGCCCGCCGGCCGCGGCTTTCTCCAGCCCACCGGCCGTTCTGAAGTCTAGGGCGCCAGCCGCGGCTCTTTCCTGCCCTCCGGCCGTTCCTGTGGCAAGCCTGCTGGCCACTCCAAAGTCAAGCCTGTCGGTCGTGGCTCACTCCCGCCTTGCACAAAGAGACCCTGCCCCATTTTGGAGGTTCTGCCCACTTTTGGAGTTCACGCCCCATTTTGGAGATCTCCGGTCTGCAGTTATACCTACTAGCGTTTAGCTAAGGGAGGGCTCCATATCTCCAGTTAAGCCCAGGGAGGGCTCCTGATTTCTCGTTTAGCCCAGGAAGGGCTCCTGATTCCTCGTTTAGCCCAGGAAGGGCTCCTGATCCCCAGTTTAGCCCAGGGAGGGCTCCTGATTCCTCGTTTAGCCCAGGATGGGCTCCTGATCCCCAGTTCAACCCAGGAAGTGCTCCGGATCTCCAGTTAAGCCCAGGGAGGGCTCCTGATTCCTGGCTCCTGACGGGACGTGCCGTCCGGGAGGGGGACGATCTGTCACGTGTACGTTTCTGTTTAGTTCCTGTTTGCCCCTATTTGGTTAATTTCCTGCTCATTTAGTTAATCTTCTTTCATTAGTTCCCACCTGTGTTGTATTAATTATCTCATTTGATCCTTAGTTGCCTGCCCTTTATCAGCCCTCAGTTTCTGTCATTCCTTTGTCCTGGATTAATGTTATTTTCAACGGTTATAGTGTGTTGATGCTTATTAAAAACTCCTTTTCTTCTACTCCTTCGTCGAGCGCAATTACTACAACCACAACCCCGTGACAGATATCTTACTTTATATAAAATAACTGAATAAAAAGAATAGTCCAATTTCCTAATTTAGACAACTAAGGCAATTGTTTATGTCTCCATAATTCAATGGCTTAAATAAATAAACAAACAATGTTTTATCAATAATGTTAAATAATAATAAATAAAATAAAAAATGTTTTTTCCCCATCATTAGAGATCTGCCTGACCCATCATTAAAGATCCGTTACTCCTTTAATAGTAGTTTTTGCAAGTATTCTATTCTATTCTATTCTATTCTATTAACAAATCGTTCAAAGCAAGCCATTTGCTAATAGAATAGTCCAATTTCCTAATTTAGACAACTAAGGCAATTGTTTATGTCTCCATAATTCAATGGCTTAAATAAATAAACAAACAATGTTTTATCAATAATGTTAAATAATAATAAATAAAATAAAAAATGTTTTTTCCCCATCATTAGAGATCTGCCTGACCCATCATTAAAGATCCGTTACTCCTTTAATAGTAGTTTTTGCAAGTATTCTATTCTATTCTATTCTATTCTATTCTATTAACAAATCGTTCAAAGCAAGCCATTTGCTAATTCCTTTGAAACAACATCACCTTAAAGATTTTAGATTCACTTTTATTTTATTACTGATGGTAATATTGATATGCATCCCTGTGATTGGCCCTCACACTGTTGTGCCAGTGTATCACAGACACAGAGCTCAACAGGGCCGATTGTTTGGTCCCTACAATGGTGTGTGTCCTCCACAGACAAAGCCACACACCCGACCAACAGGCAGGAAGACTGGGAATACATAATCAGGTTTTGTGACCAGATCAATAAGGAGTTGGAAGGATAAGCATTCGTAATCCAACATGACTGAAAACTACAGGATTCTCTTCTCTAAATGCGTTTGTGTGTTTGTAGTCCTCAGATAGCTGTGAGACTCCTGGTTCACAAAATCCATTCTCAAGAATGGGAAGCCCTTCAAGCTCTGACGGTGAGGGATGTTTTAACACTAGTCCAACATTTCTGCTTTACTATGAGTTTCTTTACAGATGTGTCTCTGCAGGTACTAGAGGTGTGTATGAAGAACTGTGGGCGAAGATTTCACAACGAAATAGCCAGATATAGTTTTTTAAATGAGCTGATTAAAGTGGTTTCACCCAAGGTTGGTGGTTTTTCTATTATCATGTATTTTTGTAGGCTGACCCACAAGTTAGCATCACCATGTGATGAAGTTTAATGCCCTCAACAACCTCTGTAGTCCCATTTAGATACTTGTTAGCAACTTCCTTTTTCAAGACAAAAGCTTAAAAAAAAACACGAGTTGGGTATCACTGACATATTTTATGTTGTAAAATAAAACATGAAAATATATTGAGCTTGTGTTCACTACAGACCTTATTTCAGGCATTTAACCAAAAATCCATTGAATTCAAGACGATAAAACCAGAAGTGCAAAAAGGCGATCTTGTGTCTGGTTTTAGGATTCATTTATGTGTGCTTTATGGACATAAATGTCTAATATGAAACATACGTTAAAAACTGTGTGTGTTTCAGTATATGGGGGACAGTGTTTCTGACAAGGTGAAGAATAAGATATTGAGATGCTGTACAGCTGGACGGTGGCGTTTCCCAATGAGGCCTGATGGCATCATTTCCTGTGTCTGCAACATTTGAATTTAAATATGCCGATTTGGAGGTTTAACTCGGTGTGATTTCCATTTATGAAACTACAAAAATGTGGTGTTCTGTGATTTGATGGCACTTGTTGGCTGAATTTCTAAGGAGAAAAAACCCGGAAGATCTTCAGGAGGCGAACAGACTGATCATAAACATGGTGAAGGTGGTGAGAGGATCTTCAGAGGTGATAAAGATGTTGATCTGACATTTAAAGAGCTCCAGTTTAAACTCAACATGAAATGTCTCGGTTACGTATGTAACCCTCGTTCCCTGAAGGAGGGAATGGAGATGTCACGTCGGACCAATCCACTTTGAGTGTAAGCTAAACGAGCCAATTCAAGTTTATTTGTACAGCGCTTTTCACGATACAAATCATTGGTACACAGAGCAGTTGAGATAAATCAGGCATGTTATTTGTGAATCTGTCTTTGGTGGCTGGAACAATAGTTCTGCCCGGACGATAACGTGGAGCCATATAGTTAATATCAGTAATACGCAGCATGCACGATACCAGGAAATGGTCAGTAACATCATCACTTTGAGGTACGATATTTATATCATTAAGATCAATTCCATGCGATATAATTAAATCTAGCATGCAATGATTGCATCCAGCTGCTGCTGATTGCAGCACGAGTATAACTAGGCAGCAGGTGCAACACATACTCAGGTTTTTGCTGAGGAGCCGAGCCGGTGACCCAGCCGCTCAGCGGTGGTACAGTAGCTGTGGCTACGGGACGTGACGTCTCCGTTCCCTCTTTCAGGGAACGAGGGTTACATACTTAACTGAGACGTTCCCTTTTAGTCGGTCACTCCGAGTCACGTTGGTGACCGACGAACTGGGATCCCTACCAAAGTGCCACGGATGCTGCCCCTTCCAATGTCTTGTGCGAGCTTCCTGCGCCCCTTTTTGGTGAGGGCCGGGGCTCGTGACAAGAAGGCCAGTCACTGTTGTCGTAGCACTACCCACTCAGTGAGATTGGATAACACTGGGAAACATTCCCGTTCCACTTGGAACCGGAACGTTGTGTTGTCTCCGTAACAGACAAAGAGCTGATCTGAGGTCCTGAAGCTTTGTGTCCGGTCTACGTACCATCTCAAGGCTCGGACAGGACAAAGCAAAGCTAGGGCTGGGTCTGCCTCCTCCGGGGGCAGCGCTTGCAGGCTCACCACCTGATCCCTGAAGGGAGTAGTGGGAACCTTGGGCACATAGCCAATATTACCAAGTATTGCAGAAGCATAAGAGCTATCTTCTTCAACTAAAGGGCACAATGAAGAATCATTTTTATTTTCTTGATAATTTTTTTGTCAATTTAGTACCCTTTTTGCAGAGAAAGACAAACAAAAAGAGCTGACAAAGCCCAAGGTTTCCAGGTACTTTCAACAGTATACTGACCTCTTTTGTAAAATAAATTGGAGTGAGCTGGTCAACAATGAGCGCATGAACCGCATGGTTAAAATTGAGCAGACGCGCCAATGTATGGAGAGGAACATGGGTGATTCCTATACTGGCCTTCTGGAATATTTATATAAGGGAGACTCGGCATCAACTCTTGAAGAGATCATCCAGCAGTATGATTTCATTCTGAAGTGGAAAGAGGCCAGACCAATGGACACTGTCAACTTCACCTATGCCAATGTAATTCTGGCCAACATTAACCCTGAATCTCAGTATATCATGCCCTACCAAGACCTTCGCAACTTACTACTTAAAATAATCGACCACCCCACACCCTTCAGTGAGATCCTGCCATTGCACTACATCACAGTTTTATTGTTACGGAAAGAGGAGGACTGTACATTACCACCTTTTGTGTCACAAATGAAGCTGTCATATTTAAAAGACCTGAGACCTGTGTCTAATGGAAAGAGAGCAGCTGTCCATTTTTACTTAGGGAAGGACGAAGGTTACGGTGGCCTGATTTCTCATAGGGATATAAACAGCTGTTTAGGATCTGAGCAGAATATCTCAACTAAATGGGATGATGAAAAAATGTGGAAGCGAGTGAGAGACTGTGAGAAACTTTACAGAGTTTCTGGTAAAATTTGTGATGGTTTTATCAGTGCTGCAGATGTGAAGGTCTATCCGATGTTCAGAAGCCAGTTACCTAAAGAATCTGGCAAAAGAGTGTCATTCTTCATCGGATTCTCAATGAATGGACCAGTTGCACTTGACATAGACTTTGAGTCATAGGGTTCACAAGCCTGATCTAATGGATCTGACTGATGACCGGAGAAACATGAATGAGAAAACTTTATAGATTTCCAGTTTAAAACTAAGACACTCGAGTCAAAGGAGCTCATGAACCAAATCCAGTTATTTATCTTACATCACTCAATCAATCTTTTAATCATTAATGTTGCATGTTTTTGTAGCTACTTTGTTTTAGCTAAAATAGTTTAGTCTAATTGTGTTTGATGTGAACTTCATAAAAGGGTGTGACTGCATTATGTGAGAGGTGAGACTGGCCAGTGACAGCAATACATTGACATCCAGAGAGCAAACATGCACATGTGTTGTATTTGAGTTAATTTGTTTTTCTTTATATGCATTTGTCTTACTGGATTTTAGTCATATACTGATATATTCATATACATTTATTCATATATCACATATTCTTTAGATTTGACTTCTATTTTTATTTAGTTTATACTTAAATAAAATGTTCCATGTTAATCTGAAGGGTACATTAGGGTGTTTTACATGTATTTTGAATGATGCTTTGCATTGTGTTGTGCTTTGGGGTTGAAGGAAATGTTTGTAAACTTGACATAGGTACAGGTAATTTTCTGCCAGGACATTATCTGTTTTTCTACTGATTTTTTTTTCTTAGTGTGCATTTGTTTCTTAATAAGCCTCATTTTGCAACTCTGCAAGGCAGCAGGTTTTTCTGTAGCTGGAACAAAGAACTAACTATATTATGGTAAATGTCTGCATTCAAGGTCTTCACGGTCACATTTTAAGGCACTGGTAAGAATAGTCCATTCCTTTTGCCTGTGATCATAACATTTGTTTAATATATGTCTTTTAAGGAAAAGGTTATCTAATAAACTTATATACCTTCACTTCCTTTCCCAGCTCCTGCGCTGCATCTAGTCATGTCAAGTCTAAATATGTGTATTGCTTTTCAGAATCATTTCAAAACAACTTTACAGAAATCTGTGCCTTACAATCCTGGATACGTAAAAAAGTAATCCACGGTAGATTTACTGCTAATTAGTTAAAATTCTTTAAAATAATCCAATAAAATATTTGTGTTTTCTCATCTATTGTCCCACGAAAGTCTATAAATTTATATTACCAGACTATTTATTACAACTAAGATATCTTACTGTATATAAAATAACTGAATAAAAATAATAGTCCAACTCTTTTTGCAAGAATTCTTCTCTTCTCTTCGTTCCAAATCATTCCTTTGAAACAACAACAGCACTTTAAAGATTTTAGTTTCACTTTTATTTTGTAATCCTACAAGACTCGTCCCGCTGGTCGTGTTTGGAGTCTACGGCGGTTGACATAAACTGGTTTGTGACTGGATTAAAATGATTTCTGGGGTAATCGATGAAGATGAAATGGAGTCAGATGACTGGAATTTAATTACAAAATAACTCAAGGAATGAATGCTATAGTTTTATTTTTCAGTTCCTTAAAATAACTAATTTGTGGGAGAGAATTAAAAAAAAAAAAAAAATTGGAAGGAAGTAAGTCAATTTTTGATCCACACTCCATTCCAGTTGGTGGCGGAAATACACCATTTTGTTGTTTGTCAACCGCCAATAAAATTTCAAGAAGAAGAAGAAGACTCGTCCCGCTAGTGACTTTTGTTTTGTAATCACCAGAGGCGTCTAAATCAAGGACCTACATACAGGCAGCTGATGATACTGCCGGCTGATGCACTATTCATTAAAAAATATAAATAAAGCAGTATTTTGCCGCTGCATACAAGCTCGGATGGAACAGATTATGTTTTCTTTTAATATAGTCAGTTTAATTTGACGAATGTCTGTGGTATTTAAGGAGGAAATGTGTGGATTTATGGAGTCAAAGCGTTAAATGAGGATCATGGCGTTTCCGGAGGGAGAATCACTGGAATCCTGGCTCAGTACGTGCATTATTATCAATTGCATTTCATAATAGGTGTAAATAACACTGCTGTGTTATGTCTTCAATGCTTGGATTAATACCGACGCGTCCGACGTTCTTGCTCAGCTTGTTCCAGCGGAATTTCGAATCATACTATAATGAAGGTCTGCTCATGAATATTAATCATCTCATATTGACGTTGCCTGGTAACCTTTTCCAGGCGTCCAATTATGATGCATAAATGATATCAAAGAGCCAAGACTTCACCATAGTAGGATTCGTTATTTCGCCAGCGCCCACTTACCAGCGTCTGCCTTCCAGCCAATCAGATATGCCCAGTGTACGAACGTCACATCTCATAATTAATATTCATGAGCCAAGCCTTCCATGAGTAAAGTATGATTTATAAATTCAGAGTGCATTTTGACCGTCAGATCTGGCGATCATGAGTCCAGATTAAAGTTCAAAGTCCGTGTTTAGCTTCATGTAGGATGAGTTCAGACCCAGAGCTTCAGGATTTACAGCAGTGATTGCTAATTCATTACTTATGATCAATTTAAATGATTTTATCCAGGGTGTCAAATAGTACACTAAACATCATAATCAATGATTTTTTTGGACATGCACAATGAGCATAAAATGTAAATACAATTGCACATGAGTATGCTAATATTATACATACATAGCAGTTTTTGTAAAGGACGACTTCTTTATTTTCTTTATATTTTTCTTGAAATCACTGATGGTAATATTGATATGCATCCCTGTGATTGGCCCTCACACTGTTGTGCCAGTGTATCACAGACACAGAGCTCAACAGGGCCGATTGTTT